GTTCTCCCTGCCACTGACACTGCCACACCAGGCCTCTCAGCCCCAGTCTCACTCCTCCAATACACTGTCCAAGCTGCAGCCCGAGTGGCCTCTCTAAAAGGCAACATAGATCTGGTCCAGTCCCCCCATTCCCGCTAAGCCAGATGTTGGCTGGGAAGTGTCTGCTGGGACCTGCCTTGCCTAGCCCCCCACCCCCACCCCACTCGCCTCTAACCGATAAGTATGGAATATAGTACCATGGAGCATAAAATTGCCCACCCCCATCTGTGCAGGACCACCTGGGTGGTACCCTGCATGTCCCAGAGCTCCTCCTGGGATCAGGCTGAGGGCAGACATCTGGAACCACCTCTTTGCTTGCTTTGTCCCCTGGCCGATCCTGTTTTCCTTGTTCCCTTACAGGTTTCTCCAGGGAGCACTGCCTCAATAAATTCTTCACTTGCACAAGAAATCTTGTCTCAGTCTTGGCTTCTAGGGAAACTGAGTTTGGGTGGCTGGATGGGTGGCTGGATGGATAGATGGACAGATCATGGATGAATGGATAGCTTTTTCACATAAGGATTCACAATTTGTCATTCATATGTAAGTAGCCATGTCTCCAGCAACAGGGCTGGGGCACCGAGAGCCACCCACAACCTCCAGCCGGTGGCACACATATGTGACACAGCTGACGGAGGAGTTTTTCTCCCATGTGAAGCTCAGTGCCTTGTGAGGAGCAGTATAATAGGAATTAAGAACCATGGGCACTGAGTTCAGATGAAGCATAAATGAAATTAAGAAGAAAATAAGATGAGGTTAGTGCATTAAACAAGATGAATGCCTAAGCTCTTAGCACAGTGCCTGGCACATGGCAATCCCTCTTTAAATGTTAATTGTATTATTATTGTTGTTGTTGTTGTTATGTAGTAACCAAATCTGAAGTCACCCCCAAGCTAAATCAGGACAAAATTGTTCAACAGTGCTCCCCTCTTTCCACCCAATCCCTCGCTCCCATCTATAGGACTGTACAAACTGTGCCAATGAGATCCCGATGCATGATGTCCAGTTTAGTCAAGGTCAAGAGCTGGCGATTCTCCTTGTCCATCAGAGCTCCCATGTTCCAGACTCTGTGGCCTTGACAATATCAATGTTGGCAGGTATGGGCATTTATCTCCACTTTAAAATTGAACAATCTGATGCTCAGAATGGGGGCAGGAACCTCCTGAGGTCCCACAACCAGCAAAGGCAGAGCCAGGATCCCACCCAGATTCTTCCCACTCTGCCCCCTCGCACCCCACCTCATTTGTACTAATCAGGACGCTTCCAGCTGAAAACTGCCACTCAACAGGCTTCAACAATGAGGGCATTTATGACCTCACATGACAATAAGTCCAGGGGGAAGGTGACTCTTTAGTGGCTTGATGATGTCATCAGCACCTGGTTTCTCTCCTGCTCCCGGCCAGTCACCCTCGCTGTGTTGGCTTTGACCTCTGGATGGCTCCTCCTGGCTCCAAGATGGCAGCCATGACCCAGACCTCAAGCCAGGACATGCCAACATCCAGCAGAGAAAATGCTGTCTCTTCTGTCTCTTTTTAAAAATTAGCCCTACCACCACCACCCAGCAGACCTCCCATTCAGGACTGGCTACCCTAAACCATGTGGCCCCAGTGATTACCTGGTCAGTTTAGATTCCTCAGGACTTATTTATCTCTCAGATGGGACAGGGCCAATGTCTCTTAAGGATAAGTATCTGCTAAACTGAGGGCTGTTGGGGCTATTGATAGGACTGATGTCGGGTGGGCAAGCCCAGGGCTGGGTCAGCAGCAGGGCTGTGTCTGCAATATTCCCCTCTGTGAGCTAAGCACCTAGTGCAGGGCCTAGTGATCACATAGTAGGTATCAATAGGTATTTGTTGAATGAATGAATGAATGAATGAATGAATGAATGAATCCCAGGTTGCTAAAGACATGGGACTTTGGACCAAGAGGAGAGATGGGCAGATGAGACCGCTTCAGGGTCTCAGGGCAGCCAGAACTGAGCCCCAGAAGTAAGGCAAGGCCTTCCCACCCTCTGAGTTCTCAATCTGGACCAATTTCCAATCACTGGAATTGGATAAGAGACTCAAAGGAAGGAGAGACTCACAGGCACCTTCTGTATCTGCCCCCATCTCTCACGTACCCCTGGTTGTAGGAGGCAGAGAGAAAGACGCAGTCCCTGAGCTTTCTGTTCCCTTGAGGTCAGGTTCTGCAAAGGGACACTAGCAGGAGGAGTAGAAGGGGCATTGAACAAGACATTAAACACCTGGGGTGCCCATGTACCCACTCCTCTGCCCTCCCTTGGGACACTGCCACCTGCATTTTCCAGCTGCAGAAACTGAAACTTGAGGATGAGTCACTTGCTGATAAGTGGCAGGGCTGGGATTCGAACACATGTCTCTCTGGCTCCAGGGCCATGTCTCAACCTACCTCCCACACTCTTTACTGGGACAGTTGGTGACTCAGCCCTGGGTGCCCCTTAGGGGGACAATAACCACACCCAGGGACCAGTGCAGAGGAGGTGAGGTTGGGTGTGGCAAGACAGGACACCTGGGTAAAGGCATAGTGAGTAGTAATCTTACCAGCAATAAGTGCTTAAATAGAACCCTCACATTTGGAGCACCTTCCCCTGCACAGATCCCCTTCCCACCACTGGCTGACCCAATCCACAGGTCACCTGGGTCCAGGGTCCCATCTCTGGAATGTGGGGGCCCAGCCCAGGCTGATCACCTCTCCATGTCTCTGCCTGTTTTTCCAGCTGGATCTCACTCCCAATACCCGGGTTCCCTTCACCCACACTCCCCTCGCTATGATGTGCTGGTGGGGCTGGGGCTCCTGTCCCTTCCTCCACATCCCAGGGTCCCTGGAGGGGAAATGGGGGCATGTACAATTGGGGTCCCTGCATCCTTGCTCACTACTGAGGTCAGCTGTGAGCCAGCCTGACCCCTGAGCCCGAGGCAGCCTGGACAACCCAGAGTCAGGGTCTGACTGGCTCTCTCTAGCTTAGGATCCTCCAGGTATATTTGTTTGCTTAGTTTTTTTGCTTAAAATAAAGAAGAGATTTTAAAACAGTTTGTGATAATTTGAAGCTGACAAGGCCGGCCGTGGGATTCCTCCAAGTTCTCTCCCTGCCTTAGTTAGGTTCCTGGCCTAGCCTTGCCCACCTTGGGGGCTCTCCAGGAAGGTACTTTCCAGGGCTCTTTGCAAGACTGGCCTGTCATCCAGAGTTCAACTGACAGTCACTCCCTCAGGAAATGTTCCTGCACTCCCAACCCGAAGCACCCCCACCACCACCACTCTTACTTACCCCAGCCTCTCTGCCTTAATCCTAATTCTCTGCTTTATACTCTCTGATGGTTTTCTTTGTCACTCACTCATTCAGCCATTTGTTTATCTCACTCCAGTGCTCGGCTAGAATGTAAACACTCCGAATGCAGAGACCACAACATCCCCAGCATCCAGGACAAAGCTGGAGGCATGTAAAATATCTTTTGAATGAATGAGGAATGAATGAATGAATGAATGAATGAATGAATGAATGAATGAATGAATGAAAACTGATAGGAAAGCTCATCCTGTTTCTCTCAACTGGGCTACTTCCCAGCTATGTGACCTTGGGCTACTTCTCTGATTCTCAATTTGTGATCAGTAAATGGGGAGATCATAGCCACCTCTTGGGGCTGTTTCTGAGTCCAGTGAACAGGAATTTTTGACCAAACCTTCACCTCTTTCTTGGTGAGGGCTTCTGGTTGGTGAGAGGTTTGGGACAGAGTGGAAGGG